TCCACCCTCCTCGGCCTCCCAGAGAGCTAGGATTACAGGCGTGAGCCCCCGTGCCCGGCCTATTTACGTATTCACTTTAAGAGACAGGGTCTCACTCTGTTGCCCAGGCTAGAGTGCAGTAGCATGGTCATAGCTTATCGCAGCCTCAAACTTCTGAGCTCAAGCAATTCTCCTAGCTCAGACTCCTGAGTAGCTGGGACTACAGGCAGGCACCACCAGACCCAGTTAATTTTTAAAAAATGTTTTTTTAGAGACAGGGTCTTACTGTGTTACCCAGGCTGTTTTTCTCATTTTTAACTTCATTTTAAAAAGTAAAAATGGCACGCCCATGAACCAAAATTTAAAAGATTCAAGGGGTTATAGATAAGGGAAATATATCTATGGCATGAGGGAGTCTTTTGGGATAATGGAACTGTTTTGTATCTGATTATAATGGTGGTTATACCAGTTTCTACATGTGTTAAAATCAATAGAACCATGCATATACCAAAAGAAAAATTCAATTTATATGTATGATAGATTAAAAAATGAAAAACAAAATAAAAGAATTTGAAAGTACAAAAAGGTATCTTTTTTTTCTCTCTTCTTATCCTTTCAGCTTTCCTTTCTGGAAAAAACCACTATTACCAATTTCTTATGTATTCTCCTACTTAATTACTCTTAAACATCTAAACATTCAGGAGTAAATTGGGCAGAAGAGAAAGGAACTTAAATTTGTTCAAGTATTTTTTTGAGAATGCTTAAATTACTGCTCTTAGAATATATCTAAATATTATTAATCAAGCTTGGCACTAATTTTAAAAATTATTTCTCCCACAGTTGGCAAACATGAATTGACTGGGCATAAAGTTGCTGTGAAGATACTCAATCGACAGAAGATTCGAAGCCTCGATGTGGTAGGAAAAATCCGCAGAGAAATTCAGAACCTCAAGCTTTTCAGGCATCCTCATATAATTAAACTGTAAGCTCTGTTTATATTAAATATTGTCCAATCGTCTTTTCATCATTTTTGTTAACCTACTTAATCTGACAAGTGAGAGAGATGACTGACACTTCTGTTTCCTGAGGGTTTTTAAAAGTTTCTTCCTGCTCATCTATTTATCTAACCCCATTAACGATCAGTTAAACCTATGTTCATGTTTTGCCCTTGTGCTTATCAGCTGTTATCCTTCTCATTCTTTCCTGTCTTCTGGACAGATGCCCTTCTGTGAGATAATGTTCAGTGCCCCTATTGCTGTAAAACCAGCAATAATCTGTTAGTAAAAACTCCTGAGTTCTAGGCTGGGCGTGGCGGCTCATGCCTGTAATCCTAGCACTCTGAGAGGCTGAAACAGGAGGATCACTTGAAGTCAGGAGTTCAAGATCAGCCTGAGCAAGAGTGAGACCCTGTTTCTACTAAAAATAGAAAAAATTAGCCAGGCATGGTGGCATGTGCCTACTCCGGAGGCTGAGGCAGGAGAATCACCTGAACTTAGAGAAGTTGGAGGTGGCAGTGAGCTATGATGACGCCACCGTACTCTGGCCAGGCAACAGAGTGAAACTTTGTCTCAAAAAAGAAAAGAAAAGAAAAGAAACAAAAAACCCTCTTGACTTCTAAATTTCCATATGATATCAGTTAGCCTCATTGCAGACAATGTAGTAGAAAGGGTTTTCCCCCATGCTGCTTATATCTGACCATACCAATAATAAAATTTCAGGAATCTAATATTTCAACAGGGCAGTAATCTTACAGTTGTTTTACAGTTGCCAGTTGTAGGCTCCACCGATAACTTATTTACTGCTCAGCTCCTGCTTTATTATGCAGGCTATAAATTAAACCTGCTTAGGCTTTTCTCCTCCAACTGGCCAACTCAAAATTTGTTTTACTCTCATCTCTTCTCATTTGTTAAGGTGCCGTGGTTTTAAATACTGTCCATACGCTGATGACACCTAAATGTACATCTTCTGCTTTGAAATCTCTTCTGTGAACTCCAGACTCATAGTGCTCACTGCCAACTTTACATCTCCATTTAGATGTTCACAGATATTTAAACATGGCCCAACTGAACTCTTTATTATGACTCTCTGAAACCTGCTCTTCCCGCAGTTTTCACTTTCTCAGCTAACAGCCAGTTACCCAGGGCAAAAACTTAGGAACCGTCATTAACTTCCCTATTTCTCTCACTTCCTACCATCCATTCCATCTCTTCCTTCAAAATGTACCTAGGATCCGTTTCTCAGCTCCTTTATTGCCATCAGCTTGGTCTTAGTCACTTTCATCTCTCTCATGGACCTCTGCAGTAGCCTCCTGCTTCTACCTTTACCGTACACAGTCAGTTCTTCACATTGCTGCTGTAGATTTCCTTTTAATATGACAGATCACATGGCTACTTAAAACCTTCTATAGCTTTTCATCTTCCTTGTAGTAAAAGCCAAAGCTTCATCATGGTTTGTAAAGTTCTGTGTCCTTGGTCTTCTTTTATACCTTTGACTCTACATCCTATTTCTCTCTCCCAGCTTACTCTGTTCTAGCCTTCTTATCATTCCTCAAACATGCCAAGCAGGGGTACCTTTGTACTTGCTGTTCCCTCTTCCTGGTTCACCTCCTCCTAGATAATGGCATGATTTTCTCCCATTCTTTCTTTAGACTTTGCTCAAATTTTATTTTATCAGAAGATTTCCTTGAATACTCTGTATAAAAAGATGTCTCCTTAGTTTACTTTATTTCTCTTCATAGCATGTTCCACCACTTAAGATACTGCTTATTTATTTAGTGTCTGTTTCCTGGCTCCTAAAACATGAACTCCATGGGAACAGACAATTTTTATTCCCTGCAGTTTTCCTAGCTCCTAGCACAGCACCTGGTATATTATAAATGCTTAGTAAATATTGAATGAGTGAATATACATGTTATAATATTGGTAGACAATGTTTTCTCTCACCAGGTACCAGGTCATCAGTACACCATCTGATATTTTCATGGTGATGGAGTATGTCTCAGGAGGAGAGCTATTTGATTATATCTGTAAAAATGGAAGGGTAAGCTGTTCTGATTTAATCCCATATATATTTTGTAACTTCCCTTTATCCCTTACTAGCATCAGAATGTCAGAGAGCAATTTTAAGAGATCTATTTAATAACCACTTCCCTTACTCATATCATAATGAACCTCACAGTTTGTATATTTTCTCAAGGTCACATGATTTATTAATGACAGAACTGGATTGAGATCCCAGAACTCATAATCCTCAGACTTACGCTTTTGGGGTGTACAAATACATATAAATTGTATCTTAAAGTATATAATCCTTACAAAATATATTATTACTTAAAGGTCTAGGCCTACTTTAGCCACATTCAAATTGCATTCATTTTTTGGTTTCAGAAATATGATGTACTTGGAGTAGTAAGAACAGGCTCCATGAAGGAGGTAGGAATTAGATATAAAGAATTTAGAGCTGGAAGGAACTTTAGAAGACATTTTGAGCACTGCTTTAAGTTACAGATTTAAAACCTGAAAACTGCTCCCCGCCCATACTTTATCTCATACCCAGGTTATGTGGTATGTAAAAGCCCCTTTCTGGAAAAGCTGTATCTAGCACCAAGAAGACAATTTTTCTTTCTCCCAACCTGAATTGTATTATTCACTAATTCATTTGTTCTGTATAGCCTATCTGTTTACTTTCATCAAAATCAAACTCATTAACCAAGTTAATTTTGATTTTACTATTTCTTAATATGATTCATTTCTATTTGAGGCATCCCCCTTCTCTTCACCAAAAAAAAAAAAGTTCTGCCT